TAAGGTCTCTGGACTGGGAAAGGACACATAGGACAGATCCAAAACCCACTTACACAGCTCCATTTTCAGCATGGGCATGGTGCCTGTGGGTATGAATACAATTTCACTATGCAAGAATGAATAGGTGGGAAGGCATTTAAAATTAGGTTCTCCAAAGGAAGAATTCTCACAGATGGTGTAGGGAGGGCAGGTTGGGGCAGCATGGAGGCCAGTCTCCACTAAGCAAATGAGAGGTTCTTGCCCACACAGATGCCATGGTCATGGAGCAGGTGGATGCCTGAATATCCTCCCAAGTATGATAATAAAGATCTTGTTTTGGGTGTGTCCCAAGCACAGGTCTACACATGAAAGAAACACAGTGTGCTACATAATCCAAGAATAATCACAGTTCCAATATTGGGAGCCTGCTAGGTAGCTGTGGCCACTTTTTTGGGGATTCTCCCACAAGAATTGGGATTATACTATTCTAGAACAGCTTTGGGCAAGACAAACGTATGGGACTTTATTATAGCCTCCTTAATTCAAAAGTGAAGCGACAAAGTTCTCCATCAGTTAAGTCTAGCAACACCCTGGAGCCCTTCTAAGCACTGCTCCTTCCCTGCAAAGACTGAAAGATTTTGTGGGCATTCCCCAAGGGAAGGAGGATGGTGTGACAGCTTTGGTATTTTCTGCTACTTATTGTTGGCATCAGTACGTAGATGTGCATCATGAGGTCCCAATGGCTGTCACCAGGGCAATAAGGCTGGTTTCCTGCAGTGCATGACGGGTAGGCTTTTCCACCTCCAGATCTCTTTCAGTTCTACCAGCCTAAAATATGTCCTAAGTATCCAGGAGAGGGGAGGGGAGGCTGGGGAGGATACACCACTAAGCAGAACCCACTCTTCCCTTTTCTCAGGGAATCTACAAGTCTACTTTATGACCCTTAATGCCACAAACTGCTCCTAACAGGGAAGAGGCCTCCCTTCTCTCTGGTAATGGGATGTGACTGCAGGGAAGATGGGGTGCACTGTGGGGTGCGTGCAGCTGGCGGGGGGGGGCAACTGGCTGTGAAACAGGGCTGCAGAGAGCCATGATCCAAGCCTGGCTAATGAGGAGAGACTGCCCTGTGAACACAGTGGAGGACAGTCCCATTACTTACAGACTAGAGGGCACAGGGCCAAAGTGACAATGTTTGTCTTCCATCAAGATACAGTGTGTGTTACTTGAATCACCTATGAATTACTCAGCCCTCCCAGGAATTGCTCATTAAGGCTTTCCTGTCACTCCTGAGCTGTGATATTTCTTCTTCTCTGAAAACTCCCAATCGCAGAAACTGTGCCTAGGTCAGTGGGGTGCACAGAGCAGACATAAATAATAATAAATAGGAGTTTATGACAGCTTGCTGCTCCAGGACAGAAACCTTGGCCTACTCATCTTTACCCAACTGCCTTGTTTTGGGCTCATGACAGCTGCCCAGTGGAAGTTTATTAAATGAATGGGTGGCCTGTTTTATGAATTATTTGTGGAACAGAGTCCCTCCTCCTGAAATGTTTAATTGGGAGAGAATGGCTCCCTCCCTACCACCTTCAAGATGACGAATGCAAGGGGCCATTACAGAAGTCAGAGAAAGGTGGTGAGAGATGGCTTCACTCCCAGACCAGCTGGTAAATGGGGGCACCACCTATTACTCATGCCCTGGGAAACAAGCTGCCACACCACAGGGCCAGAAGGGAGACTCTTCTATGCCCACCCATTTACAAAAATAGAAGTCTGGGTGATAACCAGACTACTCCAATTGCCAAAAGCTTCCCAGATCTGGAATTAGAGGCCTCCAACAAGCCTCCCACTGGAAAGGAGGCTGAGCTGTAGCTCATGCAGTAAGTATTTCCTCATGCCCCTGTGTAGATGTGGATCTGTCCGGACAATGCTTACCCCAGACCACCACCCTCCTCACCCCCTTTCAAAAAACACCAAATAAGTCAAAGACTGAGGCAGTTATGCAGATATTTTAAATTAATCTTGAAGCAACTTAAGAGGACTGTTTTTCTCCCCTGCCCCACATCCAGCACATTTTCTAGGGCAGCTGGGTCACACCTGAGTGGCATTTCCACTACTGACTCAATATCAAAATATTCCTAGGCTGCTTTCTTCCCATCATCCTTCTTTTCCCTCTGTCTTATTTTTGATATTCTCTCCCCTCCCCTCCCCCTCTACACACACAGACATATACCACAAACCCCCCTCACATACTCCCACACATGCACATGTACACACACATGCACACACATATGCTTCTTTTTAAGGTATGAATGCACCATGGAATATGGGTCCTAAACCTGGAATCCAGGTGTAGAATTCAGGGATTGGGTACTTGGATAGGGAAAACAAATATGCCTTCATCTTCACTAACCTCTAACTGGAATGAATACAGCATTCTCTTCCATTATGAATGGAGACAACAAACTACATTAATGTTAACAATATTCATGCCTCTGATATCAATGGAAACATGCACATTTTCATATCACATCCTGAAAAGTAATTTATGCTCATCACTACTTCAAAACTATGGAAGTTATGAAACCTCAAGTAGATCTTGCTATTTAACATGTTCCTAAAGACGTACACACATTATTGTTATTTTTTAAAATTTAGTAACTGTCTTTCAGTAATTATTTTCCAAGTCTTTATCTACTATTTTGTACATTTACAAATATTATTCTGAGAAGGGGTCCAGGCCAAAAGGGTCTGTAACACAGGAAAGAGAAGAGCTCCTGCTGTCGAGTGAGCATAAGACAGTAGCATTTGAAATCTTCCCTAGAGTGATCAGGGCATGAGCCAGAGGACTCGGGGGCTCACAGGCAGTGTTCAGTGGTATCATGAGGCAGGTCTAGGAGCAGAGGGATAGTAAGGTTACTGGATCAGAGTTTGAGTGGGCTTTGGAGACAGACAAAATACTGGCTGTGCCTAACTGACAATGTGATCTTGGGCAAGCCTCTTATCTCTCTGAGCTCCCATTTAGTCAACTCTAGGAATAATAACATACCATGCAATTCTTCTGGTATGAACTGAGAGGATATACGTGTGGCAGCAATTACTGCTTGGTTGACTGGTACTTACCTGACTCTAGAAGGTCAACCTTTCTGACCTGGGGACTTCCAGTGCTAAGGGTATGATGTTTTGTTTTGCTTTGTTTTTGAGACAGGCACTGTCTGTGCCCTATGCAGGCCTCTCACATCTTTGAGTTTCAGGGCTACAATGAAACATCCCAAACTCTACAACATATCTAGGCAGACCTAAGTCCCCTTCCTGCCCTTCTGTCCCTGGCTCTGAAATAGGCACCCAGGCCAGGCTGCAAAGCAGCAGAAGACTCAGAACAGAACAGGAAAGGAGATGTTCCAGTCCTTCCACCATTGGTCACAGGAGCCAAAGTACCTGCTTCTGGCTTCACAGAGCTGGTGGCTCCTGACCTGGTGTCTCTCATCACTTGGTGAGCAGGGACGGCGATTCTGCAGTTGAAGTGGCCCTTCCCAGAGCAGCCGGGCCACTGGGCAAAGAGCCCTCAGGAGGGCCAGGGGAAACTTTTTGACTCCTAAGGTTGTGCAAGAAGCTCCTTTGCATATCTCTCCTAAAAACTGGCTTAAATGATGTCCAAAAGGCCTACTGCAGAAGGAGCCTATATATTCTTTAAAAATTAAATATATTGATTTTCATCTGATTATAAATTATAAAAGTTTAGAAAGCACAGAAAATTTATACAGAGAAATTAAAATCAGCAATTAAGTCTGGCCCCTAAAAATGAAAAACTACTAACATTGTGGTGAATTTGCTTCCAGTTATACCTATGTTGGCACACTCATACAAATTGGGATAATTATATGTAGTTTTATATCCTTATTTCATCACTTTAAAATACCTAGAGACACTTTCAATATGAGCTCTTAAAAGCCACAAAACCATTGTTTCAGAAGCTGTCTGTAAAATTCACAGGTTACTAAGAGAAGTCATGGTATTTCCTAAGAATAGTATAGTGCATTTAAATATGTTATTCCCAGAAATGCAATAGGAGGAGATCCCATTTCATTCTTCTTAAAATGCATATAATAGTAAGCTCTCCTCTTTAGCTTATCTTTAGCTTAAAGGAAATTTAAAGAAGACACTTTTTGTCCTCAGCAAATAGGCACTATATGATATTTTTCTTTTTCACTTTCTCACATTTCCCCTGATAATGGGGAAGGTTTGAAAATTCACTGCTGGAAAAAAATGGGGTGTTGCTTGAGAAAGTGTTCCAGGAGCTGAAGAAAAACCTCTAGAAAGAAATAGCATGGCAGGAAGAGCCCTGGACTTCAAACAGAAGAAAGCTGGATTCATATGTCAAGTCCACCACTGCAGCCCTGAGATCAAAGGGCAGCCGTTTCCCTGCCATCAGCTGAGACGCCACCACCCACCTCAAAGGATCAGAGGCTGTAAAGATCAAATAAGACTCAGTGTGTGAAAGTGCTTTGTCAGTAGCAAAGCACACTGCAGGACAACAGTCACTAAGTCATATTATCGTGACTGCTAACTGTATTGTTATTTTTGTTGCTTAGCCAGCTTGAACCACTCAGTGCAGGCCCTAGGAGGGGCGGAGTCCAACAGTGTGAAAGTGTAGATGCTGGAGCCGCACTGCACTTCCTACTTAGCCAACTTATTTAGCCTCTCAGTTTCTTCATATGTGAAATGGGATAATGATATTGTGGATCACACACCTCATAGGACTCTTAAGAGGATTAAAATGAGTTAATTTATACACAGTGTTTACAACAATACCTGGCATAATAAATACTGTATAAGGGGAGCTTTAAAAAGTCAGTGATCAATAGCCAAATATAAGATAGAAATAAATGGATACAAACTAAGGCCCGTAAGCACTTTTTAAAAAAGTTTTCCACAAAAGTATTATCATTAGAAAGTTGAACCAGAAGGCTGTTTCCCTAAAAAGCTATGCCATGCCCCCCGAATCAGGCCAGCTCCACCCCTACCTTCTCAGCATCCTGCTCGAAGAGCCGCAGCTGGAAGCACTGGTCCAGCTTGAGCTTGCGCACGTGCCACATCTGGTGCAGGTGCTGCCGGGTAGAGTGCAGCTTGTCCAGGAGGCTAGTGATCTTGGGAACCAGACTCTGGAAATCAGCGCTGCCCGGGATACAGTTGCGTCCTGAGAAGCCGTCACTGCAACGGATGCACTGCAGCAGCCGCTGCCCCTCCCGGTCCAGCTCCTCCACAGGGGCCTTCAGCACCTTCTTCTTAAGCTGTGTGTGCTCATCAATGAGCCGCCGCGAGCCCTCCACATCAACGGGGAACTCCTTCCGTGCGAGCATCTCCTGCAGGTCCTCAAGGCGTGAGAGCAGGTGCACAGCGCTGTTGAAGAACTCCTCCAGGGAGAGCCGCAGCTCAATCCACTCCTCATGGTTGTAGTCCAGGGAGCCATCAAACTCCTCAGTCAGCTGAGAGGGGTCCACCAGCTTCGTGAGGCCCTCCACGGACACCATGCTCGTCTGGGAGGGGCAGACAGAGAGAGAGAGAGACTCACTGCTATGGGGCTGAGTTGGGGGAAAGACCCCAGGGCAGTGGTAGGAGGAAGGAGAAAGGCCACCATAAATCCACATAATAATATCTACAGCTTGCCTAGGAAAAGGTGAGTAGGGGAATGTGCAACCCATTGGTCAGGAGCCACAAGTGAGCCAGGGTGAGCAGTTTCAGCAGACAGCCTCTCCACCGGCCCACCATTTGCCACTTTATGTATCTGCTGCCCTCAGCTTCCTCCTCCTCACCCCAAGGTTAGAAACAGGGCTTACGATTTGAGAAGCAGAAGAACAGACCTAGTGCCTGGGGTTTAGTTCTTAATAGCTTTAAAACCCAGGCCCATGAACCAGGATATCACCTACCATTGGATTAAGAGGTAGGTGTCAATCCTTGGGAAAGAGTCGATCTTTCTGCCCCACCCTGAGACTCTCCCTCATAGCACATCCCCATCTCTGGTACAGTGAGCAGAACTGGGGCTGAGAGACAGGGATGCTGGGCCCTCAATTTTCTCTGTGAGCCCTGTTTGAGCTCTTGGAGAACAGAATGGAGAATGTATGTATCCGGGATTCAGGGCAACAAAGGACCCCAGGAAAGCACTCTTACTTACCACCAAGTATCTTTTACTATAAGATTTCCCATTTCTCCTTCCTGTAGAAGGAGAGGCTATCAAAGAAATATCTAGGTCCAGCCCTACCTTCATTAATTGTGTAAATTGGGGCAAGTTATTTAAGTTCTCAGAGCTCCAGTCTCCTCCGCTGTGTCATGAAGATAATAATATTTTTCTCCTCAGAATTAAATGTGTCAGTGTGTGTAAAGCACCCAGGGAGCCTGGCATGGAGTACTTGCTCAGTCCCTGTTAGCACTCATTGTGATGATCTGAAGACTGCATCATTACTGGAACCCTTAAAAGCCACTTGTCTCTCTGTCTTGCTATTCTCCAAGCATCTCTTCTTCTTCTCCCTTTTCCCTCTAGGGTGGGAAGGAGCTGCCTGTGTCTGGAATGAGGGTTCTCAAACTTGACTGATCATTACAACCCCTTGAGGAGTTTACAGAAACACTGATGCTCAAACCCTACCCCTAGAAAGTCTGGTTTAGCCAGCCTGGACTGAAGCTCCAGCATGCATAGTTCTAAAAGCTCCTAATGCGCAGCCAGCGGCACAAACCTCTGCGAATCTAAACTTCTGCTCCTCAAAATGTGGCCCTTGAACTAGCAGCATTGACACTACCTGGAAGCTTGTTAGAAATGCAGAATCTTAGGCCCTACCTAGACCCTACTGAGACAGAATTTGCATTTCACAAAATCCCTAGGGGACTCTGTGCATTTAAACTTTGAGAGGTCCTGTCTTAGAGCACTTTCCCCTTTGAATTTGGCTCAAAGTTTACCACTTCCAGGAAGTCTCCCATGACTATATTCATCGTTTATTCATTAAGTATTGACAAACCCGTCCTCTCATCTCTGTCCTCACTTATCATCTCAGTCTGCACTAGGTATTTCATTTGCTGTTTGCAAAACACCACTTCATAAGTAGCCTTCTGAGTGGGAGACCCCTAGCTGTCTCTCCTGTACTTCTTGTTTAGGAGGCAGGGACAAGCTTGCTCAACTTGGAGTGAAAGTGGGTTACAGGGAGATGGGAAGTCAGGGCAGGTACATTAAAGCAAAAGTCTCAAGACTTCTTGTAAAGATCATTTTCAGTCTCTTCAGCTTATAAATTTTTACATTTGTTGTCGCTACCTCTATATAAACAAATCAAAAATACAAAAAGCACTTATTTCCCTGTAGGGCTCCTAGTGTTGGGTAGCGATGCTGGAAGAATATGAGAGGTAACTTTTTTACAGCAAGTCAAACTTCCTGTGTTATTTATGCAGAGTGAGAAGTGCCTCAGTCAGGTTGTTGTGCTCAAATGGCAGCCCACTGAGGCCACTGCTGCACACAAAGGTGCTCCTGGCCCGGGATCTCTTGAGAGTCTGGAATGGGAAGTTGCTGTAAGATTAAGAGGACCTCTGTCTTTGCAACATATGCACGCATACAAGGTTCATACCCTTGCAGATGAGCACCAGAATTTTGAGAAAGGCGAACAGCTCAGATTTGGCTGAACAAAGGTTCCTGAATCATTGATTTAATCTGATGTATTGTCATAAAAAATTCTCAAGGGATACATATGTCCTTTGGGAAGTTTAGTTAAAAAATAACATGTATTCCCTGAATATAAAAGTAATAGATAATTCTCAAAATAAAATAGGAAAAAAATGAATAAAATAAAATTCATCCACAATCTGGTCAACTCTAATAAACCACTGTTAACATTTACATGTGTCTCTCATTCTTCTTCTTTATATGTATACTTCAAAGAAAATCTCAGATTATATTGCCTATATTATTTTATAACCTGCCTTTTTTTAAATTAAGGTATCATTGATATACATTCTTATAAAGGTTTCACATGAAAAACATTGGGGTTACTAGTCACCCATATTATCAAGTCCCCCCAACACCCCATTGCCATCACTGACCATCAACGTAGTAAGATGCCACAGAGTCACTACTTGTCTTCTCTGTGCAACATTGTCTTCTCGGTGACCCACGCATACACTACGTGTGCCAATCATAATACCCCTCAATCCCCTTCTCCCTCCCTCCCTCCCCACCCATCCTCCCCCACCACTCCCTTTTAGTAACTGCTAGTCCCTTTTTGGAGTCTGTGAGCCTGCAGCTGTTTTGTACCTTCAGTTTTGCTTCATCATTATACTCCACAAATAAGGGAAATCATTTGGTACTTGTCTTTCTCCACCTGGCTTATTTCACTGAGCATAATACCCTCTAACTCCATCTATGTTGTTGCAAATGGTAGGATTTGTTTTCTTCTATGGCTAAATAATATTCCATTTTGTATATGTACCACATCTTCTGTATCAATTCATCTACTGATGGACACTTAGGTTGCTTCCATATCTTGGCTATTGTAAATAGAGCTGCAATAAACATAGGGGTGCATATGTCTTCTCCAGTCTGGGATCTTGTTTTCTTTGGGTAAATTCCTAGGAGTGGAAGTCCCAGGCCAAATGGTATTTCTATTTTTAGTGTTTTGAGGAACCTCCATACTGCTTTCCACAATGGTTGAACTAATTTACATTCCCACCAGCAGTGTAGGAGGGTTCCCCTTTCTCTGCATCTTCTCCAGCATTTACTGTTTCTTGTCTTTTCAATGTTGGCCATCCTAACTGGTGTGAGGTGACATCCCATTGTGGTTTTAATTTGCATTTCCCTGATAATTAGTGATGTGGAGCATCTTTTCATGTGTCTGTTGGCCATCTGAATTTCTTCTTTGGAGAGTTGTCTGTTCATATCCTCTGCCCATTTTTTAATCGGGTTATTTGCTTTTTGGGTGTTGAGGCATGTGAGTTCCTTATATATTTTGGAATGTTAACTCCTTGTCAGATATGTCATTTACGAATATATTCTCCCATACTGTAGGATGCCTTTTTGTTCTACTGATGGTGTCCTTTCCTGTACAGAAGGTTTTTAGTTTCATGTAGTCCCATTTGTTCATTTTTTTTTTTTCCCCTTATCTGAGGAGATATGTTCAGGAAAAAGATGCTTATGTTTATATTCAAGAGATTTTTGCCTATGCTGTCTTCTAAGAGTTTTATGGTTTCATGACTTACATTCAGGTCTTCAATCCATTTCGAGTTTATTTTTGTGTATGGAGTTAGACAATTGTCCAGTTTCATTCTCTTACATGTAGTTGTCAAATTTTGCCAACACCAGTTGTTGAAGAGGTTGTCATTTCCCCATTGTATGTCCATGGCTCCTTTATCGTATATTAATTGACCATATATACTTGGGTTTATATCTGGGCTCTCTAGTCTGTTCCATTGATCTATGGGTCGGTTCCTGTGCCAGTACCAAATTATCTTGATTACTGTGGCTTTGTAGTAGAGCTTGAAGTCAGGGAGCAAGCATAATCCCCCCAGCTTTATTCTCCCTTCTCAGGATTGCTTTGGCTATTCAGGGTCTTTTGTGGTTCCATATGAATTTTAGAACTATTTGTTCTAGTTTGTTGAAGAATACCATTGGTATTTTGATAGGGATTACACTGAATTTGTAGATTGTTTTAGGTAGGATGGCCATTTTGATAATATTAATTCTTCCTGTCCATAAGCATGGATGTATTTCCATTTATTGGTGTCTTCTTTAATTTCTCTCATGAGTGTCATGTAGTTTTCAGAGTATAGGTCTTTTATCTCCTTGGTTAGGCTTATTCCTAGGTATTTTATTCTTTTTGATTCAATTGTGAATGGAATTGCTTTTCTGATTTCTCTTTCTGCTAGTTTATCATTAGTATATAGGAATACAACAGATTTCTGTGTATTAATTTTGTATCCTGCAACTTTGCTGAATTCAGTTATTAGTTCTAGTAGTTTTGGGGTGGATTCTTTTGGGTTTCTTATGTACAATATCATGCCATCTGCAAACAGGGACATTTTAACTTCTTCCTTACCAATCTGGATGCCTTTTATTTATTCCTATTGTCTGATTGCCGTGGCTAGGACCTCCAGTATTATGTTGAATAAAAGTGGGGAGACTGGGCATCCTTGTCTTGTTCCCAATCTTAAAGGAAAAGCTTTCAGCTTCTCGCTGTTAAGTATGATGTTGGCTGTGGGTTTGTCATATATGGACTTTATTATGTTGAGGTACTTGCCCTCTATACCCATTTTGTTGAGAGTTTTTATCATGAATGGATGCTGAATTTTGTCAAATGCTTTTTCAGCATCTATGGAGACAATCATGTGATTTTTTTCCTTCTTTTTGTTGATGTGGTATATGACATTGATGGATTTTTAAATATTGTACCATCCTTACATCCCTGGAATAAATCCTACTTGATCATGATGGATGATCTTTTTGATGTATTTTTAATTCAGTTTTCTAATAGTCTGTTGAATATTTTTGCATCTATGTTAATCAGGGATATTGGTCTGTAATTTTCTTTTTTTGTGGTGTCTTTGCCTGGTTTGGGTATTTATAACTTGCCCTTTTTCAAAAGAATGTATCATAAGCATTCCCCAATGACACTATTTCTCTAAAAATAATTTTTAAATGGTTTCCTAGTATTTGTGTATTAATGTCACCAAAACTAATGGGTATTTAGGATACAAACTATATATATATGTATGTATGTGAATGTAGATCTATGTAAATATGTGTATACATATGTGTGTACATTATTGCAAAAAACTGGTGATCAACATTCTTAAAGACATTTTTGTACTAATTTTAATTAGCTCCTTCCTTACCTTTTTGTTTTGCTTAATTTTTATATTTAAAAATATTTTCCTAGAAGAATTACTAGATCAGTGAATATAAACCCTGTTTAAGGGATTTGAGACAAATTACAGTTGCTCCCAGAAACAGCTTCCTCTGTTTTACAACCCACCGATAGTAAACAGGATTGCCTAATGACATTGTGCACTTGAGACAATCTCTTGAGCTTCTTATCCTTCTGAGACTAATTGGTAAGGCACAGCAGCTAAGAATCCTGAGATATCAGCCTGATATGTTGCATATTGTAGATGTAGAAGTAGAAATGAGAAACGTGTGAGTGGCAGAAGGGGAAGGGAAAGGGAGTCAGAGAGAGAGGTCTGGCTCACCTCAAAGATGAATTTGGAACTGCCAAAATTGGTCTTCTGTTTCTGCCAGAAGTTGTCAGGCTTGATGATGAGGGCCACATGGATCTCGGCTGGAAAGGCTTCCTGCAGTGTCTTGAGGAGTGGCTTGATGAGGTCCCACTTGGAGCCCCGCATGTCGATGATGACAGTAAAGCCACGTTTGCACACGTCCTCACTGTGGGGAGGTTAGAGGTCAGACATGGTCACTCTGGACAGTGGCGACTTTGGAGTATGCAGTCAAAAAGAAAACAGAAACCTACATTCCTTTTCATCTAGACCACCCTTCCAACCACATGCCAGGTCTCCTGGCTGCCTTCCAATCCAACTCAAAACATACTGCCTCAGAAAACCTTTCTAGATTAGCCCCATTTGACAGAGGGCATTCTGACTTGTCCCAGCACTTGGCAAATAACTCAGCCTTCACTAAAGGCAACTGTACTTGTTGGGATGCTTATTAGCTAGTATTCACAGTTGCATTTAGTTTTCTTTTAGTTTTTTTCTTCCTCTCGTGTCTGGGATGAATCATGCTTTCCCAATTTGAATATAAGCTCTCTAAAGACAGGGACCCTGTTACTCTTAAATCTTAGATGGAAAGTCCTTGGTATGAGTGCTGACCCCTGTGCTTACATCAAGGCAAGCACTGATGCACTTTACCACTGAACCCAAACTGGGAAATAATCTTTTTCAATAAAGGGCTCTAGGCTGATCTGTCAATTGATTAGATATATTACACAAAGTATTAGTAACATAATATCACCACTGTATATAAGATATACTACCTATAGTTCAAAATGTATGTTGACTTTTTGAAAAAAAATCAGGCTGCTGCATCATGCTGATTATTCTGAGATGGGCAAGGTACAGATGATCAGAACTGTGGGTACAGTCCAGTTGTCTCCATGGACTTGTGTTATATGCTCAGAGTATAAAAAGACATGTTTCAGGAACTTCAGGGAAGGGAAATGTCTCTTGAAATCAAGGTCAGAAGAAGTGATAGTGACCATCTTGAAAATCAAAAAATAATCAGACTAAGTGAATCTAGATGTTGCTTTATAACTTATTAAGTAGCAAAGTTTATTTAAACACTTGAACTTTAACTATAACTCCTAAGAACCAAAAGAAAAAAAAATGAAGGTCAAAATAGTTATAATATCTCAGTTTGAAAGAAAGTCTGTGTTTTGGTAGTTAGGGGTCTTTCCTTCTATCCTTGTTGGTTTATTTAACCTATATATTTATTTTATAACTCAAAATAAACCTTGGTTAATTCACATTTTTATGTAAACACTGGTGTAGTATTTTCTTAGGGTATTTCACTTAATTTCCTATTTCCCAAATTGTACTTGTTTAAACCTCTGTGCACACTGTGCAGGTTGCAAGACCCACAGATGTGCACCATCACATGTCAATCATTTACAGCTATTGGAGGTAAGGCCAGGGTTGGAGGATTAAGGCCACAAAAGGAAACAAAACCCCTTTTCAGGCTTCATTCTCAAATCTCAACCAGAGTGTGAATGTCACAGACCGGTGAGGAGACCAGAGCTTCTGTGATTATGTGAGTGCTTCAAGCATAAGGCAGCTTACTTAGACCTCCCAGTTAAGACTACCCACGCAAGGAGACTCTTTCCATCTCTTCTTGTTGATACAAAGGACTGGACTCAGCATAAGAGGAAGGCTGTGTCTTTTGTTTCTCCCCAAATACTGCATCCCAAAGGAAAGGAGTTGCCTCTTCTCCTCTGATACTTACTGAGCCAACAAGTGGCCAGAGTCTTCCATAAATAATTTTTTCTGTCCTATTGTCTGAAAGCAACAAGACTTTTTCTTAAATTTCAGATTTTCTTTCCCATTATGAGAAACTAATTATAGAAAAATTGAAATATTCAAAGATTTGTATAAGAGGAGCTAATGGTAGGAATTTATAATACTCTGGCCTTTTTCCTTCTGGTCTTTTTGTGCATGTACTTTTCATACTGCATAGTGTTCCATTTTTCACTATAACCATTTTTTCTCATGTCTAAAACTTCCTTGAAACAGTTATGCTTAATGACACATAGTCCATTTTATACCTATACCTACCTTATTTTTTTTAAATAATAACAACCCATTTATTGAGCACTTACAATGTGTTCAAACTATGCTAAGAATTTTTCCATTTAATACAAGTTTGTATAGTAGACTCTTATTATTTTTTTTTCATTTTTTTTATTATGGTATCATTAATATAGAATCACATGAGCAACATTGTGATTACTAGATTCCCCCCCATTATCAAGTCCCCACCACATACCCCATTACAGTCACCGTCCATCAGCATAGTAAGACACTACAGAGTCACTACTTGTCTTCTCTGTGCTATACTGCCTTCCCTGTGTTCCCTCTGCCACATTATGTGTGCTAATCATAATGCCCCTTAATCCCCTTATCCCTCCCTTCCCACCCATCCTCCCCAGACCTTTTCCCTTTGGCAGCTGTTAGTCCATTCTTTATAACTACCTTATTTAATCATTCTCTATACTGCTTTACAGAAAGGCTTACCAACTTAGATGTCTACCAGCAATGCCTGAGCACACCACTGCCTCTTAGTGTATCCTTATAAGCACTGGTCATAGAACTTTTTACATCTTTGCCCATTTACTAGGAAAAAGATTGCATTCCTTTAAATTTTCATTTCTTGGATTACTAGCTATAGGTTATTGGCTTACAAGTATTTCTTCTGTGACTAGCCTAATCATTACTTTTATTCATTTTTCTACTGAGGTTTAATGGCTTTCCCCATCACACTTAAGTTTCATTTTGCTTGACTCACATTTGTTGTATGGCCTCTTATGTCAGGCACTGCAAGTAGCTGAGGGTTTTGCCTGTTCCTGAGGCTCTATCACTGTTCTATTAGTTATCTGACATGAGAAATCTCCATCCCTAACAATAAATAGTCAGCATTGCTACCAAAAGTTGGGAGTTTAACTATCCCAGTACCTAATATGGTGATCAGTAGCAGCTTAAACACTATTAACTAATAATTTCTGACAACTCAAAGTAGAAATCAGGTACTAATATTGCTTAGGAAGTTCTCACTAGCCCAGGAGATGGGAAAGAGTCCCAAGGGATGAATGCAGAGAGCTAACGTAATTGGCCTCTTTCTGTGAAAATAGCTATTCTCCCAAGACACTTTGTGTGTTTGGTCTCAAGTAAGCAACAAAGCTGGAAGAGGAAAAAGAACTTTCAAGCAGTGTTTACTCTATGCAAGGACTGTAGTTGGGCACTTGACTTATGTCATTTTATTTTATTGTCACAATTATAAATTTAACATGGTTATCTCAAGGTAAGAGATGATGAAATTGAGGTACAGAATTTACCTAAGGTCACATAAGTAGTAAGTGGCTAAAAAAGTGTCAAAACCAGGACTTTAAAGCCCACACTCAGGTCACTATATCATATTACACACCACTGTATACCCATAATGTGTGGTGTTTTGTGACTGGGAGTAAGGTTAAGGGTCAGTCGTGAGGGGATTGGTTAGGGAGCTCACAGGAAATTAGGGCAAGGAATCCAAGTGGATGACCTCTATTCACGGTCTGTGCAAAATCACAGAATCACAGAAGCAAAAGAACATGGTATATTGAGAAAGTTCAAGTAATTCATTTCGGTTTGGGCATGAGAGTAAATGGCAGAGTGATGAGAGAATGCAGTCCTGAGTGCTTTAGCGAGCCTTATTCTGGGCTCCAACCCTCCTCCTGCACCCCTCACACAGGGAACAAGGAGACTTACCACAGAGTCTGTGCTGCCGCCAACCCAATGCTAGATCAAGCTCCTGGTACCTGAAACCCTAAAATTCTCTGCCCAAAGGGCCCTTAGCCTACTTCCTAGGCCCATGTGTACTTCTTTCCTAGGTCCAATTCTCAAGGACAAGTAACACCACCAGCATGAGCACCCCTAGTCCTGAGAGGTGGCAAAGGGCTGCTATTTGCAAAAATGTGGCTAGAACATGGATGTGTGAGCTAAGGTGTCCACATGCTTGCATGAAGCTGGCAATAGAAGAGAGTGGGCAGAGAAGGAGGCAGAGCATGGGCTGGGGCCAATCTCCAAGAAATCTAAATCTAAAGTTGGTCTCCTAGATCACTATGAACATACATTTGTCAAGGTAGAAAGGTAGAACACATTTTATTTAACAATATGTTGCTTGCTATATTACTTTTCAAATTTTAGATATAGGTTATGTGGATTTCCATTTATATTCTTTTCTTGGGCATCACAATGTTAAAAGCAGGCCTTCTAGAGAAGAAGCATGAGTGGAAGCAGGACTCAAATCAGGAGAGCTTGATTTATCCTAATGGCAATGAGATACCACTGAAGGGAATCATTTGGGAAAGGAACATGATCAAGGCATTTGGAAGGGTTACCCTACAGCTGTGTAGAAGCTTAAAGCAGGGTCAGCCAGAGGGAGTGGCAAGAGCAGCAGAGAAGCCACCTCCTTTGGATCTTTGCTAAAATGCCTCCTAAGTGAAGTCTTGCTTGGGCTGCCCTATTTAAAGCCACAGCTGTCATCCCACCCTCCCTTTCCTGATTTATTTTTGTCCTTAGCACTTACTACCATCTGGATAGTATATTTTACTTACTCATTTATTGTCCACCTACCCTCACTGGAAAGTAACCTCAGTGAGGGCAGGGAATTTTGTATTAATGTCACAGCTGGATTCCCAGGGCCGGATGCGTGTGCTAAAATGCAATACACTGAGGAAGTTTTGGTAGCAGTTAAGGGTAAGGAATCTAGAGCCAACCTTCCTCATTCTGAATCTGGCTCCATCATCACTTACTGAGGAACCTTAGACAAGTTGATTTTAACTCTACACCTCAGTTCCTTCATTGTAAAACATAAATAACAGTAACTACATTACAGAGTTATTTTAAAGATTAAGTCTGTTAATACACAGAAAGCACTTACAAGAGTGCCGGGCACAAAATCTGTACTGTGTAAGTAAGTCTCAGCTGCTATAGGGGACACTGCCCACCCAAGGCCCCTTTATTGACCACTAAGCCCCCTTCATTACTCCCGAGCCTATCTCTGGAAACTTGACTGGCTCCTCTGGGTGACAGGTGCCACTTCTCCAAGAGACACGTGGGTGGTTATACCCCCACTCCAGGGGACCAGTGCCTCTTATACAGGGGTGCCAAGGCTCAGAC